GCTTGCTTTCTGCATTACATTTCTCTAGCTATTAAGATATGACTAATGCTCAATTCAGCTGAAATGCCAGAATGCTACAAAATTAGCTGTATACTCAACATGATAATTCTAGGCGCCACGACACCAGACAGACCCACACGGGGTTGATCAACAACAAGCCCCAACGACATCCAGCCAGCAAAGAAGCCTTGGTGCTACATTCCCAATTCCAGTGGGTGACGAAAGCAAGTTCGAGGTCATTCCCTACTAGACTCATCACAAAATTCAAAAGCCATCCAACAAAACGCCAATCAAAATGAGATTTCATCCAGTTATCGTCGTGCCAACCCTGGCCGTTCTGTTCAGCACTGCCCATGGATTTGTGACCCCAGCAAGCAGAATATCTCACTGCTCTCCTGTTGCTACCACCACGAGTTGGGCTCTCCAAGCGCTCGATGTGAAAGAACGCGAGGCTTCATTGGAAAAGCTCGCTGCTGTGGACGAACCTATTCCGGAGTTCACGGAACTGGTGAAGGAAGAAGAAAACGAAGAATTCAAAAAGGGATTTTCCATCATCGCCCTGATTACCTTTTTCAATGCGTCACTGTCACCCGTCTGGCATATGGTCTACGAAGGAAATGGTCCACCGCCGTTGTTCCTCAATGCTGTTGTCAGCGTTGTGGCATTTTTGGGTCTGGTGGCAGGTGGATCTCTGTTGGACAACTCGGTAGAATCCATGTCGGCTTTGAAAGATAATCAAGAAGAAAAGTGGAGTGCCAAGAGTTTTCGTGGTGGAATTGAATTGGGATTCTGGAAGGGATTGGGTACGTTCATGGCATAGCATACTAGCTACGGCTGCCAATGATGCTCTCGTGAGCACAACGAAAGAACATAATTTGTTGTATATGTCTGCTAACCTTTCCCTTGCTCTTCGGCAATCATTGAACAGGTACCACTTGTCACATTTACGGAATGGCCCTCACCACTGCGAACCACGGTGCCTTTCTCTTGCAGCTAACCACATTGATTGTACCTGTCCTGCAAGGACTTCGTGGCGCCGAGGAAATCCCTCGTCAAATCCAATACGCCGTGTTAATGGCATTGACTGGTATCTTCCTTTTTACGCAAGACCCCACCAAGGCGGGTGAAATTGTGGGAGATCCATCCATGATGCAAGTGGGTGATGCCTTGGTACTGGGTGCCGCATTCTTCTATTCACTGTACGACATTCAAACGTTTTACTGGGGTCGCGAGGTCCCTCGTACCGAACTAGTGACAATCAAGGTGGGGTTCCAAATGGTACTCTCTTGCATTCTCTGTGCCGTGGCTGCTCAGACCGAAGTCATGGATTACCTGGCATCCGGACCCGAATGGAATGTATTGGTACCGACAGTGTTGTGGAGCGGTCTCATTGTCAACGCCCTGGCTACCTTTTTGCAAGTGGGAGGCATGCAAGCTGTGGGTCCTACGCGTGCACAAACCATCTTTGCAAGTCAACCCCTGTGGGCATCCATTATGAACTACTTCTTGTTGGGATCCGTCATGGGATTGCAAGGCTTTGTGGGTGGAGGTGCCTTTCTGGGAGCTCTCTTCTTGGCTGCCACTGCAGAAGCACCCTTGCCGGTCCCTGCCACAGAAAAAGAAGCCTAGGATGGCGCCGGCATCAAAGCACTGCCAATCAATCCACCTTTTTGTATTACCATTCATTTTTGAAGATCGGAAGGGACCCTCGGCTACCCTTGCATCGATCTCGCTTTACACGACGACAATATGGGTGCTGCATGCATGTACTTCAACAAACAAACAAACAAACAAACAAGAAGCCACTACATTTGAGACATGAACAAAATTAATACGCTTACGGGTACATGCATGATGAAAAAGGCAGGAGGAAGAAGAAAGACATGAAATGAGTTCTCTCTGCCTTGCTCTGGCGGCTAGCTAGCACAACTGAAAACATAGAACCTGCACTTTTTGAAAATTATACGCAAACAGAGGGATTTCAATGGTTTCTGAACGCCTCTGGCACGGGACGACCTTGTCTCGCAATCCATCTTGAAGATTGAACTGAACTGCGCCACAACAGTGAGAAGAAACGAAGCTTGGCAGTTGCTTTGACGACGCACACCATCTATAAAGATCGAAATTTACTGATTCTGTCGCCCAGCCATCGCTATCGGTTGAACCCTTCCTCATTCTTCTTTTTGACTTGCAATTGCTTCCCAACATTCCAGATCATCTTCAATAGCGCCTTTTCTTCCGTCCGAACCTTGTACAGAGCATCTAATCGGATACCTGTCAAGATCTCAGGGTGGCAACCCAAATGAAAGCGGCGCTGTAGATGCTTTGGCACAATCTTCTTCATTAAACTCCACCAAATGTTGACAACTGTTGGTGTGTTGTAAGAGATCACATGCTTTAGGTTCATGGGATACCCCTTGATGAGAAGCTGCATTATCATGTCTGTAACAATTGGATGCAAAAACCCATGGCCTACACCATCACACTCTGCTAGAACAGACTTGCCTTCTCCCATGGCCTCAAAGCTAGGAAACAAGCAATTCCACATGTAGTAGTTTGCAGCCAGGAAGATCCGCTTCTGCCCATCTGTCTATTTGTTCATATGGGTTTCGGCAAGCACATCTTGAGCAATTATGTAATTCTTGGCTGTCAGCTATTATAACTGCCTTGATACGTATAGTTTGTATGATTTCAGCAACTGAAAGCTGCATAGTTGGATCTACTGCTGGCATAGTGATGGTGCCATCATTATTGCAAGGCAGCATTTCCTGGTCTCTTCGTGCTGCCATCTTATTGCATGTGTGGGGTTGGTTCGTTTGGAGGATTTTGTGTTGGATTGGCTCTATTTTTGTTGATTAGGCCCTGAAACCCCCCATTCCGGAGATCCAATCCAGCAAAGCGATTGAATCGAATCATTCTCGAACTTTACGGCATCTACAGTGATGCTCCGCAGTGCTCTGTACACAGTGTACGATTTTCGGACTGCCGCAATGTTCTTTCTGCCTTCTTCATGAGTCGCTTCAATCGCACGGTATGAGCTTCTTGAGTCGCATCATCCGTACGGTATATGAGCTTACGCCAGGCGCAACTCCAGTCGCACAGAGGAGGGATTCTTGGAACGAACTTTTACGGAAGTGCATGTACTGTATGTAGTCTCTGTACTAGCTAGCTAGAGGCAGGGAGAAGGCGACTCTCGACAGTCGTCGGTGCATCGCAGTCCTGGCTGCTTAAGCCAGCAACTCTGTCAACAATCAAACCAGCAGAGCACCAACTAGCTAGCAGTTCCTAGTAGAACCGTCCGACTCTGGGTCAAACGTCAACCAACCAGCTTGCTGGCTACATGCCCAGCTAGTAGTACCGGTAGGATCTGGACATGCAGGAGAAGACCTTTGGGGCCTTCCACTGTAGCCTCTGCAATAGAGAATGACTAGAAATCCTAAAAGCCCTCAAGAGATTTCCGAACTTCTAATCAATTCATGCAAACAAGGAAAATACTTGGTGCCTGGCTGCAGGGCACAGGACCAAGTTTCATAAGTAAAAGTACATTGGAAAAGATAGCCCAGCACTAATTAGCCAGATAGACAAAAGAGTAGAGTTACCACAGATCCAACCAATGGCTTCAAGATCAGCCAGAGTAGTAAATTTACTTAATTAATCAGTCACTCTTTGCTGAATCGTATGACACGCAGGAGATTGGGAACAATCCACGCACCAGCTATAGATATTGTAGAAACGTGATGGGTGTGCTAACTACTACGAAGTAGTCTTTCTATTGTTCGTGGCCACAGTGGCACAAAAGGCGCAAGGCCAAAGCTCGAGTTGCTTCCTCTGCTGTGCCCCTATCATTAAGCTCCTCCCAGGCCACTCCAACACCTCTTTCGAAGTTGCAAACGTTTTCCTGCATTCTCAATCAGCTTCTCTCTTCTTTAGTCAAATTCTTTGTCAGATCATCCATTCTACTCCCTTTCAAGCCAGGAATTTGGGACACACTGAGTAGTGGTTTGTCGGTGTCTTGGCATGAACCATAATCTTCACCAGGTGTCAATGGCTGATGGTGCATTGAAAAAGAACGCATCTCTTTGATTCTTAGGATAGCAATGAAACAGATGACAGAAAGAAGTACCTGTGAGTTGAGGATCCAAGAATCCCGGACCTGCTCCTTCACACTCCAGCCAACATGTGAACCCTTGACCAATTGCTTGAAAGTTTGGAAACAAGCAATTCCACCAGTAGTAGTGTGCAACAAGGAAGACCCACCAATGCTCATCTGTCTTGTGCCAAAGGTTTAAATGTAGCAAGATCCAGTACTTCAAGATAGTTTTTGGAAGTATACTGGTAATCAAGAGCAAGCCACATTCCAGGATGCAGCAGCAAAAATCTACGGGCAAACTCTATGTAGCACTGTCACGGTCTTTGTTGGGAACCACGATGCAACAGCTATGCACTGATCTTCATACTGGTCCGTACTCGTACACTCGTACTCGTTGACAGCCCTTTCGCGAAAGGATCGAGTGCGTTGCCAGTGGGAAGTTCGAGCCAGCAAACTAGCAACTATGCATAGCAAGCCCAGCTTGCTAGCTGGCCAAACATCGCAGAATTCAAACACTACGAAGATGCGTCCCGCAGCTCAGCCTTCTCGAGGGAGGCTCTAGCTAGCTAGCCTAGGAACAAAAAGAAATGCACGTAAAAGAAAATTGCAAAATAGTTGGATGCGCTATTCGGCTTGAAATGAAACCGCCCAGAAAGGACCAGGAGACGGCTATGGCACCGTCGAACGACGTGCAAGGAGCAAGTCAAGGCATGCTGAGGTGTGGATGATTCAATCCAAGAATCTGAGCCACTCCTACCCCTTCAAGGCTGAATTTTTCTTCATTCTGCCTTCTGAGTTGCAATTGATTCCCTATAGTCTGGATCAGCTTGACTCTTGCCTCTTCTTTAGTCGGAGTCTTGTACAGAGCATCTAATCGGATCCCTGACAAGGCCTCGGGGTTGCAGTCCAGATGAATGCAGCGTTCTTTGTGCTTGGGCATGAACTTCTTGCATAAACTCCAAAAGATGTTTATGACTGTTGGTGAGTTGTAAAAGAACATCTCCTTGATATTCTTTGGGTATCCTTGCCAAAGATGATGCATTATTATCTCTGTCGCAATCGGATCCAACAATTCTGAGCCTACACCATCACACTCTGACAAATAGGTCCACCCTTCTCGAATAGCCTGAAAATCTGGAAGCAAGCAATTCCACATGTAGTAATTCCCAAGTAAGAATATGCGGCGATGCTCATCAGTCTTGATCTGCTCAGAAGGGCGAAACGCTGCCAAGTCTTGGATTTTACAGTAGTTCTTGGTAGCAGCCATGTAGCTGACATCCAGCCACATTCCAGGGTGCTGCAGGGTGTACTGATGTGCAAGTTGCACACCCTGTTCAACGGTGTCTAGAATCTGATACTCGCTGCGGGCACACTGCAATAGATAAATCCTATGGCATATCTCTTCTAGGCTGTCTTCGGCATGGGCCGCCAGAGCGTACTGAAAACATATATGGAGCAACAGAGAAAGATGAGAAGAAATCCATAACGACGAGGAGATTTCAGCAGCAAAAGTGGTGAACCCTCTCTGGTCAGAGGACAGTCCAAACAATCCAACCACTACTCACCTGCACACAGACAAAGTCCGACTCTTCTTTGAGACGGCTGTCACATAGTATTGATGCCTTGATCCGTAGAGCTCTCGTGATCTCATCGACCGACAGCTGCATGGTCGGATCAAGTGACGGTCTTGGGTTGGCGCCATTGCTATAGGAAGAAAGCATGGCTTGTTGCTCTCTGATAGTAGACATCTCACAAGAAGAAGGATTATTAAGAGCGGGTACTGAAGACTCCGAGAGGTTCGATGTGGATGTGGGTGTGGGCGGAACAGAGAAGCTTCAAAGTGAAGCCCTTTTTGGTTCCAAAGTAGTTATTTGAAGTTATGCGGAAGCTACCTTTTGACCTTTTGGTTTCGTTTTTCGAGCTGTAGAGTGAGGTACCGTAGCCACAAGAGGTTCGAATATGGTTGTTTCCAAGTTATAGGCGGAAGCTGGCTAGCTGGCTAGATCTAGACTACCTTTTGGTGACGCTTTTTGAGGTGGGGCCCTGTCTGTATCGTATTGTGCTCGGTGGTTTTCGAGCGCCAAGGCAGAAATTGAGTTGGCGGCGCACAGTCACACCCTTATTACTGCTGCTGCTTTAGCGGTGGGCGCCTTCTGATGATTCTGCACTGAGCGCAAGGAAAATTAGTGCTGCTTCTCCAGTCCAGTACATGAATGCACGAAGGCTCTACGCAGTACCGGTTTTTGATGGTCAATCAGACAGGGCTTCTGCAGAATTCCTATCAAAAATCATTTCTCCTTCAATGATAAGATAACATTTACTTGCTGATGAGAATGAGCCACATGTAGTAGTTTACTGGTACCAGTATCAGGTACTTTATCAAAGCAGAGCAGCTCAACGCAGCGTAGCGTCCGCTTTGGCATATCTGGCTTTAATCAATTATTTCAGCAGGAACAATTTCATGTCCATACCAAACATATCACTGCAAGCAAGTAATCAGAAGGAGTATTATTTGTCAGCAAAATGGCACCATGGAGGGGAGGTGGCAAGAAGTTAACGGGCTCTAGTCAATGAGAGATAATGTTTTGATCATGATTCCTTCTCCAGCATCGGCTTGCTATGCTTCAGCGTTNNNNAAACACCAAAGTATGCCCTATTGTGTTCACTTCACCTTGACCACGCACGAACAGGCCCTATGACATACTGTAACCCTTCCCAAAGATTCTTTACTAAAAGACTGTACGGACAGCCAGGGCCCACGGACAAATATGACAAGCGGACAGACGAGGCCGATCCTTACGCTACGGACGCCGCACGGACATCTTGATTCGAATCGATTCGACTAATCATTCGAATAATTAAATTCGATCATTCACCCTTCTCTGACGTTGGTGGCATCGCAGAAAAAAATGAGTGGCAGACATCTGCATCCTTCTTCTTCGTCTTTTTGTTCTTGACCATGGCAACAGTTTTGCCTTGATATCTTTGTTGAGCTTGTCCAATCTCTTTTTCACGGTGATAGATTTGATTCAGATCAGATCAGATTGACTAACTCTACTAGTAGCTAGAAGCTTGCTATAGTAGAGCCCAGATCTGATCCATTTGCTGTCTTCTCCCGTATCCAAGCCATACATCACAAAGTTGGAGCAAGATGTTGAGTCCAAGGTTCCCCGTGGCAGCACTCTGTGTGCTGCTGTCCATGACAACATGGATGAGTAGTCGAGTCGAAGGATTCTCTGCCATGCCATCTACTATGCATAGTAGATCCATGAAATCGGGAACCCGATTGTGGGTTAAGCGAGAGCCAATTCGAATGCCGAGTCAAACACCCATGGTTCCCTACAAGGTGAGTTTAGTTGGCAGTTTAGTTGACAAGTTGACGGTTGACAGTGGAGCCAGCAGTTGGATTGAGTCCAGATCTCACACGAGTACATATTGTTTTTATACACAACAGGCCCCCGGCAGTGACTATACTCAATTTGTCGATATCAACTCGGCCATGTACCGCGATCGCACCCTCATGATTAGCAAATTCATTGACGAAAACTACGCCAATGAAATCATTGGCATTATTCTGTTTATGCGTCGCGAAAATCCACGCGCTCCCATTTCCATTTACCTCAATTGTCCCGGCGCCCTCTTGCGTCCCGCATTGGCCGTGTACGATTTGCTCTTGCAGACGCGCGAGAATTGCGAAATTGATACCGTCAATTTGGGATTGTGTTCGGGCATGGCGTCGCTCTTGTGTAGCGCCGGTACCAAAGGACAACGTCGGGCCATGCCCAATAGTCGATTCTTGTTGCAGCGCATTGGATTGGAAGGAACCTTTCGTGGACAGGCCACCGATATTGCCTTGGAAGTCAAGAATGTCAAGAAATGGAACGAACGAATGGAAAACGAATTGAGTCTGTTGACGGGACAACCCGTCGACAAGATTCAGCAGGATTTAAAGCGGGATTTTTATTTGAGTAGTGATGAAGCCGTCCAGTATGGATTGATTGATGAAGTCATGTTGCCCGCACAACGAAAGCGAGCGGCACGAGGACAAGCTGCCGATTTGGGGGCATTCGAAGGTGAAGAGGAACAACGTTACCAGAATCAACCTGAAGCCCAACAGGGTGGATGGGGCAGTCAGCAACAAACACAACGACCCCCGAACAAAAAAGACGACGATGATGGTCCGGAAATTCTCAAGGGATAAATTCAATACTAGCTAGCTAGCAAGGCAGAGTAAGAGACTTTCAACTTTGTTCAACTTTTTGATTCGATTGATGCACCGAGACCATGCAGCCAGTGGCGATTTTTAAAAACAGAGCAATCGTCCTTCAATCATGCAATCTGTAGGCTGCCGCCGGTGTACTGTATCTTTCCGTCAGAATAGATGCAGTAGACGTATGTACATGTATCCGGAGACAAAAGGGTTTCTCCTGCTCGGAAAACGCTTGCTAAGGTACCAGTACCGTTACCGGTACATACTAGCTAGCTGGTTGCACAAGGATTGATTTCATTCCATACGGACACAAAATCATCTTGGTCTTTCGTCGTCCAAGGCAACTCGAGGTGCTTGAATCGATTCGAATCGAATCCGGGTTTTCCTGCTTGCCCCGAGAGAGGGTACTACGGTAATCAACTTCCACCCGTACTAGTACGGCATGGCACCGGCACACGTCCCTGCCTAGCTAGACGGAACCAGGGAGCGCAAACCACGTACACGTATGACTTCGTCCCCGAACTAAGTGAGGATCTGGCGCTGTTGTTGGATAGCCCTTGTATACTGGTACTGTAGTCAGTCCACGTAAAAAGAAACGCATGGTACTGTTTGATTGCACATCCCAGTGAACATGATGTCTCTATTATACAACGTTTGTTATGATGATTGTAATACCGTATTGGCTGGCGGAACACACTTGTTTCCTTTCCTTTGGTTGGTTGCTTTCTCGTTTGCTTGATATTTGCATTTTCGTTTGCTGGCTGGTTTTGGCTTTTTCAGTTACTTCACAAAGGGACAGAGCCACACACCTCGATCTTTGGATCTCATTGATCCATTACATGTAATTATTCTTCAATAACTGCCAAAATGATGTCCGGATGATGATGATGATGGCGGTGGTGGCCGCCGTGGTGTCATTTCTGTATTTGTGTTTGTATTTGATCGATAGGTAATGGCATGAGAGGGAAGTTCTTCTTCCCCTGGTTGTTGATTGGATAAAATGTGTCCAAAATTGGTATGTGCCATGCGTTCCTGTTTGGTTTGCAGATATTTGCGATTGTGTCGATTGGGCAATGCCAAAATGGGAATGGTATCTACCACCACAATCCCCAATGCCGTCAATCGTTGTATTTTGCGTGGATTGTTGGTCATGAGTCGGATACTGCCGACATGCAAGTCGCGCAGAATACCGGGCAACACACCGTACTGACGAGCATCGTCTGGAAATCCCAATTGGACATTGGCATCGACCGTGTCGAGTCCATAATCTTGTAGCTCGTAGGCGGCCACCTTGTTGGCCAATCCAATGCCACGTCCTTCTTGTTGTAAGTAAATGACCGCGCCACCGTGGCGTTGGACATAGTCCATCGATAAGGCCAATTGCTCTTTGCAGTCGCAACTAGATAGATCGCATCAACAGCAACATAATGAAAGGAATAGAAAATCACAAAGGAAACAGAGAAAGAAACAAAATGTCAGTGACAAGATGGCAAAACAAAAACTTCTCTCATGCTTCTACTTTTTTGATTGTTTTTCAATGTACACACCGTTGACTCTGAAAGACTTCCGAAGTGAGACATTGATCATGCACTCGAACAGGCACATTTTCCAGCAGTTGATTGTCGGTTCCAAAGGGTGGTTTATCGGCGGCATAAATGACAATGGGTTCCATGGCTTCGGTATTGCGGTACGCATGGGAATGACTGCCAACGACTCGATAGGCTCTCATACGAAAGTTGCCTCGATCCGTGGGCAATTTGGTATCGGCAATGTATTCCGTTCGGAGCAGTGGATCATGCATTGATGTAGTAGTAGCGCCACCCCGCAAGACTTGTTGCTTTTCTTGGAGTACATCGTCGACCGTTCGTCCTCCCGGTAAGGGAATAAAACTCTTGTTATTGTTGCTGCTGCTGTTGGAAGTGTGATTACTGCTGCTACTGCTGCCAGTGATTGTACTGGTTCTCGACGGAAGAGATGCCTGAGACGCCGAGACTGGATCTGCTGCAAGAGCCGCCGCCACCACCAGGAACACCAGGACTACCCATCGGCACAGAAATTGACAAATCATTTTTCTTCTTCTTTGAGCTTGATGAATCGATTCTAGAGAACTAGTAGACTGATGCCTCTGGTCTTTCCCCTTCTATAATAGCTATTCAGCAAGTTGCCCTCTCAAAGTTGGTACGTAGCAATGGATTCTTTGAAGCTGGCTACTACAAGTAATCCAGATCGAGAGAGGAGCACCACTGCACCAGTTCACCAGTTCATGTTTGTTCCGTCTCTTTGGTCTTGGTTTTCGTTTGCGTTGAGTTTCACTGTTTCACCTCACCACGCGACCATTCACACGTGGTCATTTATTTATTGGATGCTGGGAGGACTTGCAGTTTCTATTCAGTCATGTCAAACCGGAATGTAGCATTGTTTACCACTCATTAACATTTTACGTAAATATCCACAGTATTAATGGAGTATTAATTAACATGATTTGCATATTCCTACCGGAAGTTGCTTAGGCAAACCATCCACTTTGTGCTGGCTGTGTCCCTTCTAAGTACAGTAGTCTAGGGGGATGAGCAAACTTGCCCATAGCCCTGCATTGTATTTGATAGTAATGTTTGTAAAATTGTCTGTGAAAAAGCGAATATTTGTTTTTGGATGCAATTTTTCTATTGGATTAGATTGGATTGAATTGAATTGGATTGGATTGCATTGAATTCCAGTTTACTATATAAATAACAGTACTATTCTGAATCCAATTCAATCCAATTCAATCTAATCCAATGCAATCTAATCCAATTGAATCTTGTTTCCTGCAAAAATCTATTTTTGCTCCTTTTTCTTACATTCGCCACTCCTGTTGAGTACACTACTGCGCTATAGCAAGATTTGCCCATCCCCTAGCTAAGCTTCCCTCACATACTTACGTTGCGTAAGAAGATCAGTACGTGGTCATTGGTGGCCGGTGTGACGTGGCCAAATTTGAAAAAATGAATTTCCTTTTTCTTGGCGTATTTTGGCCCATTTTGGCCCATTTTGGTGATGAGAGGGAACGGCTGCTCCAGCCGGGTCAATGGAAAGCTCGCTACGACCGACATGTATGTATGTAGAGGCAGTGGGCTAAGCTCAAAAGGGAATGGAAGATGGCCCTGCCTGTTGGATCGGGCAGGAACTTGTGTGCACGACCAGTCTAGTAGAGACCGGGCCCCACAGAATCTGTTGCGTAGATGAGAAATCTCTGCGAGCACGAGCAAGCGCAAGAGCTTGATATACATGTAGAACATCTACAACAAGAGTTGGGTTTTCTGCAGGCAATATCAGAAAGCTAAACTCATTATCCTACGGTACAATCAAGGCAAACTTCTCCTCACAGGCACCACACTCACAAATCCTGTTCTTGACCCATCCTCTTGGCTGTGCGGACCAAGTTGATAAACTCCTTGCGGTACCTATGGGGATCATCGCCCATGTTGGCTTCAGCCATTTCAATCACCTTTTCATAGTCCATTGAGTCATTCATGGTATCACTTCCTTTCAAGAGCTGAGCGAAACTGGCTACAGCAGTAGCAAACTGAAACTCTTGCATGACTGTTTGCACCTTGGGCCCTCCCATGGCCACGAGCTTGTCCATGTGATCCTCTACAGAAACTGGTTTGCTGATGAGCTTGGATTCTGATTCATCAGGAAGCTTGTACCTCATCTTGACAAAGGCATACTCCTGATCCAAGGCCTGGTTGTTGCCACCATCAGATTCTTGCATTTCTCGACTGGCCTTCTTGCCATACCTCAACTCATCAAACACAAGACCATCCTTGGACCCAACAGGGGTAATCTCATACATGGCTGTTACAGTATGTCCAGAACCAATATCACCAGCATCCACCTTGTCATTGTTGAAATCTTCCCTCTTCAACAGTCTCTTTTCATAGCCCACCAAGCGATACTCTGCAACCATGGCAGGATTGAATTCAACTTGCACCTTGACATCCTGTGACAATCAGATCAAGTGTTAGATCCAATGATGAGTGACACAAGCACACTATCAAAATGAGAATCCTTACCTTTGCAATGGGAAACACAGTCGAAGAGGCTTCTGTGACCATGACTTTCTCTGCTTCCTCCAAGGCGTCAATGTAGGAAGCCACTCCATTGCCATGGTTGGCCAAGGCCTTCATGGTTGTATCCTTGTAGTTGCCCATTCCAAAGCCTAACACAGAGAGGAAGATTCCAGTCTTTCTCTTGCCTTCCACGTACTTCTGTAGAGAAGCAGTGTCCATCTTGCCAATGTTGAAGTCTCCATCAGTCACTAGCATAATCCTGTTGACTGCATCCTTGTCAAAGTTCTTCTCTGCCAGCTCATATGCTTTTTCAAGACCACCCCCACCCCAGGTGCCACCACCAGCCCGAAGAGAAGAAAGGACTTTCAAGATCTTGTCCTTCTGGGCTGCTGGAGTGGGATACAAGGGGACGTTGACATTGTTGGCATAGGTGACAATGGAAACAAGGTCTTCTGGGAGGAGTGACTTGCTCAAAAGCATTTCGATTGCTTCCTTTGCCAAGGGAAGCTTGTCGGGTGAACCCATGGAACCAGAGACATCCACAAGAAAGACAATGTTGCTGAACGGGCGAGTCTCAGGGTCCACATCATACCCTTTGATGCCAATGTGCAGCAGCTTCCTGCCTTTATTCCAAGGGGAGTCAGACACAGCCACAGAAGTCTCAAAAGGGACACTCTTGTCCTCTGGCTGGGGATAATCATAGTCAAAGTAGTTGATCAATTCTTCAATCTTGATGGATTCGGGTGGAGGCATGCTCCATTTCTTCAGATGACGACGGGCATAGGAGTAAGAAGAGGTGTCAACATCCACAGAAAAAGTGGACACGGGTTCCTTGCTTGTCTGTTTGATGGCATTCTCTTGTTTGGATTCAAAGCTGTCTCCTCCGAGGGCAAATCCATGGACCTGCTGAGTCGAACTATGTGACATTGATTGCATGTAGCTACCTTCCAAGTCCATCAAAGAGGCACCCATTGGCATTCCGGAAGGACCTGCAGAGGGTTGCATGTTTGGGTATCCAGAAGGGGAATCGGAAGGGCTCTCGGACGGGCCTGGGGATGCCATGTTCAGCCTCCCGCTGTAGAGGTCGCTGACAAAGCGATCCGATTGGAATTTTGGTTCCTGGCTACGATTGGTAACGATGAGAACAACCGCACCAGCCAGAAAAATTGCAAGGAGGCAATGCTGCGCATATCGCTGCCACCATGCAGGAGCCTCATGAGCTCGGCTGTTAATTTCACGGTCGGAAGACATCCTTTGTTGAGTTGTGCGCGGCCGAAGTTGCGAGGCTTGGGAATGCCCCACAAGGAGGAAGAGTTGATTGCTCAGTCGTGCCGAGCATCACTTGCATGGCCAGGTGGCAGTATTGAGTTCTAGTTTTCCCTACTAGCTACCGGTACTAGCCAGATCATCCGCATTTCCACACAAGACATCGACAGTACGATATCCGCTACCGGTACAGGGCTCGACTGGATCCTCGACTGAACAACCCTCACTGTGTTATCCTGAATCCACGCACCAAATATTTCACACAGCTTTGCGCTGGCTTATTATTTTGGGCGTCGATTGCAACATCATAAAAGCGGCGAAAAAGGCGAGCATGTCGTGGACACAAGTTTACATTGCTGGTCTTTCCAGATCTTTAGAACCTTCCGACGATGAAATTGAAAAGCTTCTTGATCATCGGTATAGACTTGCTGCTGATCAAAGTGTCTTGTGGGCTGGTTCAGGAACTACACTGGTGAAAAGAGATGACGACGGACTTTGCCGTGGTTTCGCTTTTCTTGCCTTTTATTCCCCAGGTGGAGCATCCATAGTCATCGATCGAATCAATGCTGCACGTGAAGGCGAATCTCTAGAGGGCGTCTCTGCAGGAGCAGTTGGAAACAACGATGAAGAGGACGAAAGCAAACATGTCACAATGCTTCCTCTACAGCTACACGCAGAATTGAGTAATCCAAAGTCCAGAAAAGAACGATCAAAGAAAAAAGAGAAACACATCTCAGATTTGAGGTTGAAAAGACACAGAGCACCACCGATTCGAAAACATCCCGTGATTACGAGTTCCGATAAGAAGAGGACAAACCTTGGCAATAAGACCAAATAAGTTAAAAATATCCCAACGGCAGTGGCTGCCTTTCGCCGTGTGCGTTTGTAATGCCTCTGATTTTTACTTTGGAAAGAGACTGGAAGATTACGCGTAGCTTCCATCTACGACGTACTCTCGAGCTCGATTGGATTGAAGAGGAATAGTGTGTCATGGAACATTGCCCTCAACGGACTGAGGGTCTTTCACACTTTTATCGCTGTATGTGTATGTGTGTGTGTGTGTGTGTTTGTGTGTTTGTTGCAGCTGTTTTCGTCGCTCGTTAAGGATAGGGATTAATCTTGTGTGTTCTGTTGGACACAGTAGTTTCTACGCATGGGTACCAGTACTGGCTGGCTATGCAGACTCGCTAGTGTGTCCAGATAAACACGGTGGAGGTTTTGCCAAAGACATAAGGGACATTTTCCTTGTTAAGGATAGGGATTTATATTGTGTGTTCTGTTGGACACAGTACTCTGGACCCATGGGTACCGATACCACTGTGCCCGTACTGGCTGGCTATGGAGACTTGCTATCAATAGTGTGTCCAGTTGAACACGGTAAATGATTTGACCAATCAAATCTCTTTTTGACAGTTGAGGGCATCAGCCTCCGGCTGCTTGTTCTCAACAAAACAATGGACAACCGAGAAATTTGATTATTCAATGCTCTCTTCATTTTTTGACGTGGCAGCGTCCTTGGAGTTTCCACGGTGTCAACTTCCACGCTGAGGAGTGCTGGTCTCCAGTTGTGATCATGATGCTTCTCGATTTGTTGGTGGTACCGTACAGTTCCTGGCCCAAAACGGCTCACTCAGAATGAGCGGATCTCTTGGAGCCAAGCCCATGCCGACAGCACACATATGCTAAAGAAAATGACGGAATTGCAGAGAGCAAGGAATTGCTTCAGCCAAGCCCGTGCCGGCGCATATGCAAAAGAAAATGGCGGAATAGGGAGAATAGTAGAGAGCAAGGAGATGTTTCGGAAGTTGAAGGAGCAACACCTTGAACAAGTTGGCTTGTAATATTGGGAACGAAGGTTCTTTCTGAAAAGTTTGTAAGGAGCGGGAGGCCTAAATATTTGGGGATCCAGTGAAGAATACCTGAATATATATAATGCACCAACTTAGCCACTAGCGGTGAGCAGCGACCCCGGGGTCAGGTCCTGATTCGACTCGAAAAACATCGCGCAATGAACGAGAAAGCAAGAATCCGGAGTAGAACCGTGGAATTTCTGCCTTCAGTATACGGAGGTGTCCACGGTTTGGCCGTTGCCGCATACACAGAACCTCCTCTTGAGATCCCGAGCCCACTGAAGAAAGTCTTCAGGGGTCTGTCGTTTCCCGGTTCCTGTCCCCGCCCTATTTAATTCCCACGCAGGAAATGGGACACCTTCGATTTCCGGTTGATCCAAGGACATTTCCGGTTGATCCAAGCGCTTTGGTTAAAACCGGAGACTATGGGCAGACCTGCTGTTCCGACTACCGGTAACCGGAACGTGACCATATCGCTGAGCGAATGATGAATCGAATCGATCATCTACCGTATCTCCACCTCGGTAGAGGTGCGAAGTTGGAAGCGTTTTTCTCTGGATCATTCAAAGGACGAGCCAATTATTAATGGATGATAGCGATCAAGCATACGTTTGTGCGGACTAAACGATTTTCTGTCTATGCATATATGTAAGGTCTCTGCCATCGTATTCCCTCGACCATCAATTTAGCGGACTCTGGAGCCGATGCGCTGCTATTCAGTCCTTTCTTTGCCGACGGAGTGGCAACTAGGGATATGATGATGTTGGATGTGTGTTGATTTCTTTCACTCTTCTCCGAGTTCAGTCTGTGCCGCACTTCCCGGCGAAACCTTTTTCTTCCAAGTCAATTTCTTCGCGAAGTCTTTGAGCGCCTTTTGTAGTTTGTCCATGACTCCAGGTTGTTTGTTGCCTAACAGACTTTCCATCACTTGCGCCACCTGAGGGTTGCTTTCAGCCAAACCAAGTTCCTGAAATCTCTCGTATGCCTGGGTCCACCACCTTATTGCCGCTTCTTCGTCACCCCGCATTTTGTGAATATTGCCGATCATGAAGAGAGCATTGACATAGTCACCATCTCTTTCTTCCTTCGCCTCGCGAATATCAATGGCTCGTGTCAATTGCTGGATTGCTTGGTCGTATTCCTCGGCTTGAAAGTGATTGCTGCCAAGCTTTTCCAGCACTTTTGCAACACTCACATCCTCCTCTCCAAAGCATTCTCGCCGGATGCTCAGAGCTTAGCGTGGATTCAAGGGGACTTACGGTAAGCTGGGAGCGCTTACAGTATTGCCTTTCAAACAAACAAAAAGGCATGAAGATAAGATGGAAAAACGTACCTTCTTCGTAGCTCTGACTTGCTTCTGCATGCTTGCCTTGGTCTGATTTGACATTTCCCAACCCAACCAGGGCATCCGCAACCTTCGCATGTCTCTCACCAAGCTCAAGTTTCCGAAGTCTCAGGCATTCCTCATAGCACTCAATTGCTAGTTCATGCTCTTCTTTCTCCCGGTGAACATTTCCAATGTTCCTGAGAGTCTCAGAGACCTTGACTTGGTCCTCTTGCAACTTTCTGATCCTCAGTGCATCCCAAAGGAGGGAGAGAGCATCATCAAGTTGCCCTCTCTTTGCTTGCAAGTATCCCATAATGTTCGCTGCATTCCCTACCTCCTTGGCATCTGGGCCTAGCTGCACCTTGTTAATGTTCCAAGACTCTTCAAAGCAATCCAGTGCCTGATCAACAGAGTCTTGGTTCTGAAGAGTGTAACCCATGCTGTAGAAAACATCTGCAACCAAGGGACTGTCATTTCCAAAATTATTCTGACGAATATCCAGGGACTCGAAGAACTTGTCCATGGCATCTTCACCGGGCATGAGGGATTGTCGGTTCATGAGGAATTGCCAGTTCACGAGGAGGAATCTGATCAAGCCCTTTAGTAGCAAATACATACCTTTGTACTTTCCTTCATCATCAAGGAGATTTCCTGATCAATTTCAATTTCAGCGAGTATAAAGAGAGAATAAGGCCGCAGTGAATACTAATAGCCCGCGAGCCAAGACAATCCAAAACATACCAAGCTCGTGGAGCCCTCGGGCGACTTTCTCATGGGTACTTCCAAGATTCTTCTTGTATATACGGATAGCCTCTTCCAGGGCATGTCCGCCAGCTTCATAGTCACCCAGATCCCGGGCTATACATCCAATTTGCTCATAGACAGTGGCCAACTCTTCACTATCCGCAGGCAATTTTTTGCTTGCCAGTTCCATGGCTTGCTTGTGTTGTCCTTGAATAGAACAAAACAAGGCCTGTGCGGTTGCTTCTTTTTCAGCCTCGACATTCATGGATACTACTGCTTCCAATTCTGCTGTTGCATTTTCCTGGAAAGAAATGGAGCATCTCTTTACTTTCACAAGGTTCTTTGAAACGCTGGCTTTCCAGTCAAGTTTGTAGAGAATTTGCTTGTTGAAATCCAGCATCCACACCAACTCTGCCTTCTGAAAATACAATGCCAAATACTTCTTGCAAGGAGATATTTGGATATGACATTCTTCTCCCAAGGCAAATAGATGACTGCTCGAGTTGGATTCTGGGAACTGGGCGATATCCAGGACCAAACTCGTCTTGGTGGCAGTTGTGTCACTGTGACGGACAAGTTCTCCCTTGGAAGTCAAGACGTACTGTGGTTTCTCCTTGCCGACATCATCTTCCGCAAGAAAGGAAGCCCGGTTTTCGGCTGAAAGCACTTCAGGTTGCTCATCGTTGCTCATGGTAGTAATCTTCCTGAGAAGGTCTAATGGCTGCAATGTGTTGTGTCGCTGCAGAGGGTGCTACATGCATGGAGGGGACATGGGAACTCTGCTCAAGAGGGACATGAAGGCTGGCACGACTGGGTAGAGATTTAAAGGATGGTTTCCCTATGTCTTTCAGTAACAATGGCAAATTTGGATCTTTGGATCTTTTGGATCTTCTTTCTGGACATCTCATCATAAATTGAGTCCACCATAAACTTGTCTTCACTTGATGGCAACAGCACTTACTTGTTTTGGTTCCTCGATCGACACTACTAGCCATGTTCCTGTCACAACGAAAGAAGAAGCTATCATGGTTTATTACATGTATTGTAGCAACTCTGTGCCCTGTCAGCGCTGTTGTCCCGGTCGTTGAATTCCCCGCACGAGATCCCGATGTTGTCGTGGACAAGGAACTCGATTGTGGGATGCGTCAGTTGTTCTGGGAAAAGGCACAAGCGGCAGTTCCATGGCGCCAAGACAATCAAGACATTAAAGATGCTTTGCAACTATGCAGTAGTAGTAGTGACAATGCCATTTCGAATTCGAAGCAGAGCAAAGTCTCGAGTGCTGCTGACACGCAGCAAAAGAGAAGGCTGAAGAAGCAAGATCTCTATGGCGTCCAGATCCATGTCTGTCCCAAGCATGGACGAGACGGTCATCAGGAGGGAAATCAAACTCACCCTTTTCAGACGTTGCATCGGGCAGTGGAAGCGATTCGAACGCATCGACAAACGACAAAGACGACAGACGACAAAACCAATCATAATCAAGCACTCATCATTCTACGCCAAGGAATTCACTTTTTGAAAAAGACACTTGTGTTGACACAGAAAGATTCCAATATTACCATTCGTGGCCATCCAGAAGGAACATGGATATCGGGAGGCACATTGATACCCTCCAAGTTGTCGGGTTGGCACCCACAACAAGACAACAGCAACGACAATACCACTATTTGGGTGGCCGATTCCGTGCCATCCTCTATTACCGCCATTACGGGTCTCTTTACCGTCATCCCATACGCGACTCACATTGGCCCGCTATCCCAATGCCAATGTCGAAGTTGGAATGCCCCCATCGATACGAACGATTGATTCCTGGAACACCAAGGATGAATGGTTAATGCCAGATTATGCGGGTGTCCCGGATTTTAGTGACTATATCAATTTGGCGGATCCTCACAACCCACGGACACGCAAGGATGACTCGGCCATGCCGGATTATAATTCTTATGGTACGTATATATACGACAATAATGATGGAGCATCAAACGATTGTGTGGACATGGATGATTCGATTCCATTTCGCAGCTTGAGCATGGTCTCAATTGTGCTGTCGTTTGCATCTCGATCGTGTAGGAACCGGCAAGGGCGGAGCTTGTGCCACCGTCTGGGGTGACTTGCCGTCCTATTGGTGCAGCAATGTCTCGGCCGGTGGATGGGCGTTTGTCGACAAGGCAGCAGCCAAAGCAGGACGATTGAATCTCCCCGCCGGGCTCTTGTTGGCATCCAATAGTTCCTTTCAACGACGTGTCGAACAATTGTGGAATAACCAGCAAGCCCGTGGTGCCATATTTCATATCGCGCATTCCCAGGGGTGGGCGTGGCACATGTTTAATGTGTCGCATATTATTAATGATGACACCAACAGTACGATTGCCTTTGACGCGGGAGGCTGGCAGGGTGGAAGGAACTGGCAGTGCCATAACAACAAGGGGTTGACCGATTGCAATGGAGCCAATTCCGACGACAAACAACTTCATGGTGGTCCGTGGTATGTGGAAGGTGTCAAAGAGGAACTCGATGCACCAGGCGAATTCTACTGGGATGCCGCGTCGCGAAAGCTCTACTTTTATCCTCCCAACAACAACTGTGATGACAATAATAATAAGGGGACGTGTCAACCACCCGATTTGATTGCCTCCAATCTAAAGACTCTCTTCAAGATTGAAGGGACACAAGAAAATCCCGTCCGGAACATCAAATTTGAAGGGATCCGACTTCGAGATGCTGCCAAAACCATCATGGAACAATGGGCAGCACCCAGTGGTGGTGACTGGGCGTTGTATCGCGGTGGCGCCATTCACATGGAAGGAACTGAAAACATTACCATATCCGATTGCCAATTTCGACGCTTGGACGGCAATGCCATCATGTTCGGTGGGTACAACCGTCACGCACACGTTACACGCTCTGACTTTTCCTGGTTGGGAGAAGGTGCCATGGCCACTTGGGGTGACACCAATGGGTATGATGCCACGGGTGGTGCCCAGACGCGCATGAGTATCATTGAACACAACGTCATGTCCAATCTGGGACTGTATCAAAAGCAAAGCTCTGCGTGGGGGCAAAACAAGGCGTGCCAGAACATTATTCGTAACAATGTCATGTTCAACTTGCCTAGAGCAGCAATCAACTTTAACGATGGTCTTGGCGGTGGCAATCTTGTGGAGGGCAACGTGATTTTCAATGCATGTCGAGAAAGTGGTGATCATGGGCCAATCAACAGGTACGTGCAGTGGGTCACATGAAAGTCATCGTCATGGCAGTTTCCCGTTCACATATCGCTTTTCCTGCGTCTCTTTTCAGTTGGGACAGGATGCCGTTCTTGTCAGAAACGACAGGAGTTCCCTCTTTCTCGCCACTCCCTACAGAGACACGGCACAATCTCATTTGGGCGAACTATGGAGCAGCAGAGGGATTTGACAATGATGATGGCAGCAGCTATTACTACACACACCACAATGCCTATTATGAAAGTGACGGGTTCAAGATGGACTATGGTGGTCATTCAAGCAACTTTACCAACAATCTTGTCTTTAGTAATGGGAGAAAGAAGTGCTACGGCACTGCCTCCTTCAAAGAGGGCCAAGGAGATCTATTCGCCAACAACACATGCATTGTTGCGAGACAAAACAACGATCCCCCAAAGCTGGGGCACATGTTCCAATGTGCCCTTTATGGCATGAAGCCCACCTTCAATCGATACTTCACAAACACAGGCAATGGCACGTTCGCATGCGGCAATCAGCAGGCACTCACACTACAAGCCATCCAGCAACAGGGATATGAAGTTGGATCCACATTGAACCCCATGCCACCAGCGACCACCATTCTTGCTTGGGCCAGAGATATTCTGAAAACAACTGCAAACCATCAAATCAAAAGAACGAAGGACGACGCCTCCTACTAGCTAGATATCATATGTCAAGTGGAGAGCGCACGTTCTGCTACAGTTGTTCCTTAGCTGCAGCGAACAGAGTTGGTTTTTGTTCAAAGCAAAAGGATAATGAATCGAATCAGACATACACGAAAGTACCTCGGATCCATCGTTTGTGGTATTTACAGTTGCGTGGTGCCATTGCGCCGGCTGGGTATCATCGGGGGTGGGCAACAGCAGAGGGACCAGAGTAGCTAGTTCGTTGAAACAGTACAGTACATGTCATGTATGTTCTAGCTAGTTAGACTATTTCAAACAACATGGAATGTTCAAATGCAAAGACCCCATCGAATTCCCACATTTTCCGTACACCGGCCCACAATTCCACCCATCCTCCTGTCGACATGCCATTTCCGGCTTGGTCCCACATGCGGAATTGCAACGGCGTGGCCATGGGAACACTTGGTAGCTGATAGGAAATCAATCCCGATTCCGTCTGCGATCCTTGTCGCACAATCGTAATGATTTGATCCGTGAGCATATTCCGTACTTCCCATGCCGTTTCGAGGGGTGCCGCGTCGTAAAAGACATCCATTGTTACATTGACTGTTTGTGCAGCGGGTGGGATTGTGTCGGTCATGGGCAAGACCACATCGGACAGAGGCCGCGTGGGTTGTAGATCCATGTAGACATCATCGAATCCATGAAAATTGTCATTGGTGACTAGCACATCCTTCCAGGCATGTTCCAACCACGATCGATGGGTAAAGTTGTGTCCTTGGACGACCCGATAGTGCTGCATGGTACCCTTGGTCGCTAGATCTTGGACATCTTGTTGAATGCGAAAGTAAAAGAGGGATGGCGGTAGATTGGGAAAGTAGAATGTCGTGTACAGTTCTTCTCGAAAGGCTGCCAATTGTTCTTCTTCTTCTTCGTCTTTTTTCCGAGTCAATGCAATAAAGCCCGGATTGTCTGGCGCGGGTGGCAACGGTGGAGGAACATTCGCGGCGACAACCCCACTGGTATCGACTTGGTAAATAGTCATGGGTGGATAGAGTTGATACAATCCCCAGGAAATGTTTTGTTCTTGCCATGGAGCAGCAGAAGAGGATAGAATATCAATGCGAAGAGAGAGTGGCAAGTCGGCATGGTACTCTTGACAATATGCCGGTGGTACTTGACTGAGTAAGCACACTTGGGGTCGAATCCAGGATTCTGTCACGGCCGATACTCGTGCTGCCACGGCGGGGGCATCGGCAAGGCCGCAACTACATGCAGAAGAAGGCACAGAGGGCGAAATGCGGCATGTTGAGTATCACTCATCAGGATCATACTATACATTCTAGTGTAAATAGAATAATGCAAAACTCACCCATCCCCCCAACTGACCATACCCACTTGAATCCATCCCTGTTGCGTTGTTGGATCCAGTGCAAGCAGTGGTCCTCCCGAATCTCCATAACACGAATCCTTACCACCCCCGGGATGAAGGGTACAGAGTTCAGCGTCGGTAATGGTGGACCCTTGCCAGGCAATTTGACAAATGGGAGTGGGATGATACGGCAGCATAACTTGCTGCAGTGTATCGGGCCAATCCTTTTCTCCTTCATCGAGCGATCCAAAGCCAATCACTGTCAACAAGTCATTTTCCGTAGAGGGAAAGAGTGGATTGTCATTGAGTGCTACCGGTGTAATGTCTGGAATGGTCTCGTTGATTTTCAACAAGAGGAAATCATTTTTGGGTTCGTAATAGTAGTCCTTGTTGAACCGTGGATGCGGGAACACGTCGACCACATCGTAGGCAGTGCCGCCCAGATAGTCCAGAGATCCCAAGTAGACCCGGCCTCGATCATCCGTGCGTCCTTCGTCAATGTAACAATGCGCCGCCGACAGCAGCATATCCGGAGCCACCAAGGTCGCACCGCAACCTACATCCCAATAGGCAAAGAACGGATAGACCGCCGTGGATGTCACGGGGGTGCCTCCCATGATGCGAGGTTTTTGAAGATCTCGACGAAAACTTAATGACGCAGCAGTGTCATTGTTGTTGTTGTTGTTGTTGTTGTTGTTGTTGTTGTTGTTGTTGTTGTTGTTGTTGTTGTTGTTGTTGTACCACAAGGACACTCCTGTCAGGGACACTAACACCAACACCAACAATCCAATCATTGTCCTTGTCAGACTACTAGTAGTAGTAGCAGTAATGGTTGTAGGAGAATCCGTCGTCATGGTACAAGTCATGGTGTCTACTACTTCATCATTGTGTGTGGATTGCGGAGTGGTGAAGTGGACATTGGACGCAGTTTTGTGGGAAGGCGATGCTGTGGAACTCTGCTGGAATTTCACCTGATGACCAAGACTTACGAGCCGAAACAGCTTTGGAGTTCATCGGATAGATAAGACTTATTGTATTCACCCATGCTGGATTTTATTTAAGTCTTTGGAAAGTTCGTACTTAGCACAAAAAGTGCAGGAAATTCGATTCGATTCGATTCGAACAAAATTCGACTGCCGTTTCGATTTTGCTTCCGAATGAAATCTTCGTTTCTTGTTGTCTTTCTGCTCCGTGCATGAAGATGATGATGACGAGCCGACAATTCTACATTCCCTCATGATAAAACTGTGGAGGTTATATATAATCATTCAGGCAGACAGACAAACAAACAAAGCCATGACAAAGGGCAAGCGAAGAGCTAGCTAGAAAGAGTGCAGCATTGGTACTTGTAATGCTGTAGTCACGAATAGCTCCTGGAAGCAGGACTGAGTTGCTTCGGACAATTTTGGGTTTCTTCACGTTTTTTAGGGAAGGCACCCCAACTTTTTGGTTGGTTTCAACATAACACTGTATTGTCATCATCGACGAACCTGACAGCAAAAGACGAGCAGTAATAAGCGCCACACAGCAGTACAGTAACCACCTTCAAGCTCTTGTCGGCACGACCAGTGGGAACTGAGAGGAAGAAACTCGTCACCAAACTAACGTGTTGCCATGTTGGGTGATCCCGAAGCAACGGGAGCATCCCGGCCCATTATGGATCCCGAAGAGACGGGAGTATTGCGGTCCATGGATCCCGACGAGGAGGAGGAAGAAATTGAGGAGGAACTTATTGAAGAGGAGGAAGTGGTGGACGACGACGACGAGTTGGAACAAAGCCAGGCGGTCTTGTTGGTCATGGACGATCGACAGCGACAGTCCATGCTGGAAATCAGCAAATTGGGATTTGATGAATCCATGATGTATTACTCGCCAGCGGCGGCTGCCCACGATGCCGGGGACTTTTTTGAAGAAGTCATTGAAGAGCACGAAGATGAAGAAATCATTGAAGAGGAGTACCATGAAGAAGAGGAGTACCATGAAGGGGAGTACCATGAAGAGGTGGAAGAGACCGAACATTTCGAGGAGGTGTTGTCAGACAGTGAAGAACACATGATGATGGATTACAGTGAAGTCATGGTGGATGACAGTGAAGTCCTGGAGGAAGAGGAACACGTTGTTGTGGAAGAAGAACACATTGTTGTGGAAGAGGAACAAATACTCGATGTGGAGGAAGAAGAAATCCTGGTAGAAAACAGCCCACAACAACGTCCATCCCAGCAGGCCAGGCGGATGTCAAGCTTGTCTCCTGTCCGGGAAATGGAGCGTGAGGAAACGACAACCAGAGACATCTCAGAGTTTTTGATGGACGACGATGACAGCATTCTCCAGGACAGTGGTGATGATGTTGATGATGAGGATGACGACGATTGGCTCTATGGACCGCTTGGTGCAAATGATCATCGGCGTGGCAGCATTGTCGAAGTGACGGATGAAAATGAAGAGGAAATCACATCCCGTCTCTGCAGTGCCATACATGTGGCTCTGGATATCTTTGATGATCGATGGGAGGAAGTCTACTCCAAACCACCTCCCAATATCCATCCCTCTCCAACAAAGGAGAATGTACCTCCAAACGACAATAGCAGCAGCACCCACCATATCATCACCAATCAAAAGAGCCCGCTCGCAGCCACGGGCGACAATATTCAAAACCAATCAAGACTGTCCAATCAGGATGGCATACAAATCAGGTCAGCAATACAAGGCGACAATCATCATCATACAGGGGAAGATGTGACAGGCCACAGCAACGAAGACACACAAGCCGAATCTAGGCTGTACAATGTCATGCATTTCGCCCTGGATACGTTGGAGGCGTTTCAGTTTGAAATGGACTCCACCCCTCGGCTCTATGATGCCACAAAGCTTGCCATGGATACGTTGGAAGCTCGTCAAATGGAAGTCTACGCCAAACCACCCGATGGATATTATCATGATGCGGCAACCGTCAAGATGAGGTCAAGGGATGCCGGTTCCATTCGCGTGTATGGGTCCGATGATCCAGGCTCTATACGTGTGTATGGTTCGAATGCTGTGGATGCAGCAGATCAACGAATGCGGAGGGATGCAGACTCCATACGTGTATACGGTTCCAATGCAAAAGATGAACAAGCCGATCCACAGAGTAGGCATAGATATGTGGGATCCACACGGGTGTATGGCTCCAATCCAGATGGGACTCAAGGGGATCACCAACAAAGGCGAAGAGCTGGAGGCTCCATTCGTGTCTATGGTTCCAGTGACCCCAACGCTGACAATTCCAGAGAGGCCAAAACTTATAATGCAGAGACTATGAGCGACACTTCCAGTCAAGATTCCAGCATCTACCTTCCACCATCATCGGGTCTTCTATGGGCAGTGCGGGCTTCCATGAACATGCTTCTTCCTCGGTACTACCGCGTGCCGCCAATTGCATCCTTGAAAGACTTTGAAAATAATGATGGGCCAAGTGACTCAACGGGTGTGCCAACGAGCGTCAGACTTCCCAGCAGGAAAGTCCACTCACCTCAATCACCAATACAGTCTGGAGAGTTTTTCGATGATAGCTACTTGGAGACCAGCAATAAGTACCCGTTACCCGAGGTGCATTCACTATGGGGTGCTGGTCAAAAGGAGACACAAAGGATTCCCGACTCTGCACGGGTACACGGTGCGAATGGGGGTGAACGAAGACCGCACCGGACGCCAGAAAATCGATCGGGGTCCCCAACATCGGTGGCTCTTCATCAGCCTTGGGCAAGTGGCGAAACCAAGCCGCCCAGCAAGACAAAGGAGGAGATTGCAGGCCCACCAAACCACAAACCTGCAACGCCCACTCAGCAATACAAGTCGCCGGCTTCGCCGCCAGGTGGTCTCCCGCTGGAAGTCGAAGTCAGTTATGAGGGGACAGACCGGAGCGAAGCCAGGGATTCTTTCCCCATTTCAGGCAATACAACCTTCTTTTCAGCTTTGAGCGACGAAATCGAACCAAGTCCTCGGCAGTCGTACCAATACTCCCAAATGAAGCCAACAACCCACTCAAGGAGTAGTTCACATCCATCGGATGAGGAGCAGGGTCCATGGGACGAGTATTTGCCTGTAACGTTTGAGAAGGCTTCAGCCATCTACGAATCCGATTTTATTGTGGCACCCCGCTGGTTCCAACAGCAGGTCCAACAGCAGGCTCCAAGTCGCGTTCAAACAAAGGCGTCCTCACCATCATCCGACGATAACTTTTTGAGGATATGGATTTTTCGTGTTCTGTTGGCTCTGTTGGTCGCGGTTCCATTTGGGATTGCGGCCTATCTCACCATCAGCAAGAAGGATGACGATGACGACGTGTAGGCTGAAATTGCAACACAGACGACTCGGTCATTGCCACGCATCTCTTCAAGCTAGCCAGTCGTTTCCGGGGTAGACTACCATAAGCTGTCCCCAGGACCAAGCTTTGTCGACCCCTAGAGGTGAGCACCGCAGACGACTAGGTATGTACATGGCCCTGTGAATGCGGACGCAAAACAAATTCGAAGCACAACTGAACAGCAGGGCGAGGACTTGTGACGACGAATTCTGCGTGCCAGTGCTGCCGAGACGCCAAGAGGAATCAGAGCCAAGCGACTCCAGTTCCTTACAAATCTTCTCCACTGCACAAGTAAACTACGAAGGAGTACAAAGACTAGGCAACTCAGCCATGGCAATGCCAAAGCGGGGCTGGATTCTACGAAGTGCATCGTACAGCTCCTGGCAGCTAGCTAGTTACTAGCTAGAACCAGGAAGCTTGTTGCATCCTCAGCCCTCTGCCACTGGCGAAACTTTCCTCTTCCTCCAAAATTTCTTTGCCAGGTTTTTGAGCATTTTCTGAAATGCTTTCAAACAGGAAAACCGTTCATTGTGACGCCTCTCCTCTCTATTCTCCTGTTGGAGAAGGTCTTCCATGACCTGAACAACTTGAGGATTGCCCTCTTCCAGCCCCAACTCCCGGAAGGCATCATACGCATCTGTCCACCAATCCATTGCTTCTTCATCGTTGCCTTGCATTTTGTGTATGTTTCCTTCAAGCAGTTTTATCAGTGCAATCTTAGTGAGAAACGCCGAACAAACACACCCCAGTTTGTCAGCGCTCGTACCGATCATGAACAGAACATTACTGTAGCCTACATCTTCCTCAGCATCATTGTTTTGTCGAATTCGGATAGCCTCCACCAGCATGCTCAAAGCCTTCTCATACTCTCCATTACGGAATTCAACTGGGCCCATCCGTTCCAAAGCTGCGCCAACACTACTGTCATTTTCTCCAAATAAGTAGAGCCTGATCGCAAGAGCTAAAACAAGCAAGTCTCAGCATGCAATGGAAGCAAATAGCAACAGCCCTGACAATACACACTTCCAGCATTGCGTTCATCATTGCATACCTTCTCGGTATGATCTCAATGCCTCATCTCCAAGTTCCACGGCAGTTTGGGCATCCCCCATGGCGATGAGGGCATCCGCAACCTTCCCATGGATATTGCCAAGCTCAATGCGAAGGCATCCTAGGCACTCTTCAAAGCACTCGATGGCAAGCCCATACTCTTTCTTCTCCAAGTGAACGTTTCCAATATTCTTGAGTGACCGATATCTTGATTTGGTCTTTGTGCAGCTTCCTGATCCTCAGGGCATCCCAAAGGAGAGACAGAGCATCATCAAGTTCCCCTCTACTTGTTTGCACATATCCCATCATGTTTTTTGTATCCCCTACCTCCATAGCATCTAGTCCAAGCTGTGGCTTGTGAATGTCCAGGGACTCTTCGAAGCAATCCAGCGCGTGGTCCATAGAGTCCCAGTTCTGAAGAGTGTGGCCCATGCAGTAGAAAACTTCTGCCACTTGGAGGCTGTCATTTCCAAAAAGATTCTGGTAGATATCCAAAGCCTCAAAGAAACTTTCCATGGCATCTTCTCAACGCATTTGAGGTTGCCGTCAGCGCACAAGGAGGAATCGGCAAGAGCCCTCAAAAATTGTTAGTATACAACTTACCATTGTAACTCCCTGCATCATCATGGAGATTTCCTTGTTCAATCCGAGGCGAGTGACAGAGAATCAGGTTGTTTTGTATATTAGTAGCATAAGGGACAAGATAAGCCAAAACTTACCAAGATCCAGTAGTGCTCTTGCGACTTCCGGATGAGAAGTTCCATGATTCTTCTTGTAAATGCGGATAGCTTCTTCTAGGGCATGCTGGCCAGCTTCATAGTTTTCCAAATCACGGGCCAACAAGCCAATGTGCCAACCCATCACTATCTACAGGCAATTTACATCTGACCAGATCCATTGCTCGTTTGTGATGTCCTTGTGTGGAACAAAACAGGGCTTGTGTTGTTGCTTTCTTTTCAGCCGCTGCATTCACGGATGGCACCAGTTCCCATTCTGTTGTTGCATTCTCCTGGAAAGAAATGGAGCATCTTTCCACTTTCACAAGGTTGTTAGCTTTCCAGTCGAATTTGTAGAGAATTTGCTTGTTGAAATCCAGCATCCACACCAATTCTGCCTCCAGAAAATACAATGCCAGAAATTTCTTGCAATATGATATTTGAATATGACACTCTCCCAGAGCAAAAGAAAGAGCACTGGTGTCAAAATGTGGAAGCCGTGGGATTTCCAGGACCAGACTTGTTTTTGTGGCCTTTGCATCAGTGTGACGGACAAGTTCTCCCTTGGCAGTCAAGACAAACTGTGGTTTCTCCTTGCAGGCATCATCTTCCGCAAGGAAAGAATCCCGGTTCTCGACCGAGAGGACTTGGGAAGTGTGGTTGCTCATGGTGATCCTGCTGAAAGCCAGAAATGATATGATTCAATCTGCTTTTTGTGCTTGGCCCTCAAAGGCACGACAGCACGACAGCTGGCACGACTGAGTTGAGACATATCCTTAGTGAGCAACTTTCGATCTTTTTGTGTCGAGATTTTTGCACCCATCAACCCATGACCGTTCCCAGCCCACACCATGATGATGATGATGAAGACAACCCAAGTACATTTCCTTCTCCTCTTGCTGCTAGTAGTAGTTGGCATTTCCCTTGCCAAGACATCACAGGACACTGTCTATGATGATTATGCCAGAGAAGATTCGACACCCCATCCGCCACTCCACACAACTGCTTTGAGCCAAGATGACGCTGAAACCCGAAATTTCGTGAGTGCCACCCTCGGCTCCAACATGGTGTTGCAACGAGACCGTCCCGCCGTGATTTGGGGTTTCGTCGATACTTCTACTACTACTGCTACTAGTACTCCCATTCAAGTCAAGACGATATTACAAAAGGGTGACTACGATCCCGATCCTCCCTTGACGACCACGGTAGATCCTGCCACGGGAATTTGGAGACAAGTCTTGCCACCCCAGAATGCCTCGATGATTCCCTACACAATTCACATTACTTCATCTGCCAAACACGCCGTACGACTGACCAATGTTCTCTTTGGAGATGTCTATTTGTGTGGCGGACAATCCAATATGCAATTCACACTCGATGGGACGACCAATGGCACGGCCGAAGCCAAGGCGGGAAATGACTATCCGCACATTCGACTTTTTACCGTGGGACAAGGCACCAACTCGCCCAACATGGAACTCGATGATTTGCAAACGGTACTGCAGCCGTGGACAGTCGCCAATCAATTCAGTCTTTACAGTCAGGGCGACAAGTACTTTGCCTTTGGCTTTTTTTCTTCCACTTGTTGGTTCTTTGGTCAACAAGTCGCTGACGGATTGGACAATCAAGTGCCCATTGGTCTTATCAGTAACAACTGGGGTGGAACAAAAATTGAATTGTGGCAACCAGGAGGGTACGTACAGCACGAATTAATTCAATGATATGAATGAATGACCGACAATGGGATAGTCTTGGGAATGGATGCCTTCTTTTGTTTTCTTTCTTACAATGTTTCTTTTTGTTTGTTTTATCATACTATATATTATGTATAGCTACCTCTACAATGCCATGATTCATCCCTACATGGTCGGTCCCATGGCAGTGACTGGATTCACATGGTATCAAGGAGAAGCCAATACCAAAAATCAAACCACGGCCAATGATTATGCCCAGGCATTTCCTCGAATGATTACCCAATGGCGAACGGGATTTCAAGCACCACATGCGTACTTTGGATTTGTACAACTTTCCACCTGGTGTCCCACTGTCGAACCGGAAGGGGTTGCCATGATGCGACAAGCGCAAATGGCAGTCTTAGAAGTTCTGCCCAGTATTGGATACAGTACCAATGCCGATCATGGAGCCGGATGCAATATTCATCGTGAGTCCGTTATGTTGTCTGCGTTGTACTCTTTACTGTTCTTGGGCATGGAATTGTCCACTCACAATTCATATGTCAATAATGCATCTGCAGCACCCCCCAAACAGTTTTGCGGGAAGCGAGTGGCGTACTCGGCGCTGGCAATACAGTATGGATACGACGACTATCACTGGAAATCACCATCCTATTCCAAGGCGACCCTTACCAAGTCTCCCACAACAAACAACGACATTATGGTTACGATTGATCTTGTCGATGTCACATCCAAAGGATTGTACATGATGATGGACGAACCCTACAACTCGCTCAATGGAACATTTGACTGTGCCAAGCAACTACCGGGGACGTGTGCCTGGGCATCGGTCAAACTATCGACGCAAACAGAATGGGTAAATGCCACACTTTCCATCCAATTTCCCAATCAAGTCGTATTCACCGTCACAAAACAACAACAACTAGTAGAGCATGATGATGATGCGACCATCGAGGCAACATCGTACGGATGGGGATCCGTACCCATGTTGACACTCTACGATGCGGGCACTGACCTGCCCGTCTTGCCATGGAAAGAACCCGTTGGAGTGCAGCAGCAAACTGGGGACAGTGCGTCGACGCTGAGAACGGCAAGGTGAATGATCTGCAAATAAAATAGTATTTCATACAACAAAGAGAAGGAACATTTGACGAAAACTACTCTGCGAGCCAGTGGCATGCACAATCTAGTGTGCAAGAGGGTGCTACCATACAAGAACGTCTCTCTGGGCCTACCCTTTCTGCTGCAGACTTTCCTGTAATTTCTAGCTAGTGGAGCGGCCGTTGCCAGGAGGACTACGGGGTCCATTTACATGCTTGCTTCTACTCTAGCTAAGGGGAAGACAAAACATATTACCAAGTTTTAAGCTCTAATCGCAGGGACAGCCACATCCACATAGCTGTGATGGATTTGTGCAGTCAAAACACAAAATATCCAAGCCTGTGCACCATTCATCTGGTATGTTCCCAGTCAAGCCAGTGTCACTCAGAAACACCCAATCCAAATCATACCGACCATCTGGTGATCGATCATATCCTGGAGGCGGGGCCTGATTGCATTCGGGGATCTGGCTGGTATTGGCCGGAACAAGTTGACCCATGGATGCAGGAATTTGCCCTACAAGATCTGGGTTCTTGTCAACACTGAATCTTCTCAACTGGGAGAGTAGTCCAAGTTCTGAAGGCAAAGTTGAGGATAGTCTTGCTCCAGTGAGGACCAAATGGATCAAGTTGGTGAGCCGCCCAAGTTCACTTGGGATGGCGCCCAGAGTATTTTCGGCAAGTGTTAGGGACTTCAAGGCACGGACTACCCCTAGTTCAGAGGGAATAGTGGTATCAAGCTGATTATTTGATAACTCGAGGATTTTCAATTCTTGAAGATTGGAAACCTCACCAGCCAAAGACCCAGTCAAGTAATTCTGTGCAAGAAAAATGGAGGTCAGCTTGGTCAATTGCCATAGCTCACCTGGCAGTGACCCAGTGAGAACATTGTTTTCCATCTGCAGGAATCTAATAGTTTCATTCCAAAGAATGATTTCTTCAGGGATAGTACCAGATATTTGGTTGTCACCCAACCTTAGCTCTTGAATCTCAGCTAGTGCAGAGAAGACTTCCACAGGCAATGCGCCAGATATGCTGTTTCTCATCAAGAAGATGTGTTTCAATGAGCCGAGCAACGCAAGCTCGGGAGGAATTGTCCCAACAAGATTGTTCTGTATGAACATCAGGTTGGCAACTTCATCCTTCTCATTGCACAGTTGCTTCCCATCGTCTATGGCCATGCTGTACCAACAGCATTCGTGAGGGGCACTGTAGTCAAGCCATGTATATTGGTCTCCACCTGGACCATTACAGCGTGCCGACCGCACATGAGTGCCCTCAGGAACAGCAATAGAAGAGGTGTTTCCCCTCGTGATTCCCCTGCCGTTTTCTAGCCAGTTCACACCTTCAGTGGAATAGTAAAACGTAGCCATGGCATACCTTTGAAGCAGCCTAGCATCTGTGAAGTTTTCCAAATGAGGATCCCGAAGGACCCATTCGTAGGCTCTTGATTGCGGTAGAGTGCCTTCCGTGTCCTCTAGAATGACATCTCGGGAATACCCAGGTAGCAGACCAAAGAAGTACGATGTCGGGGCCATTGTCCCTTTTGGCGACGTTGAGGAATCGGCAGGGTCGTCATCCACGTCTTGGCTACTTGGCACCTTCTCAGCGTCCGGGCTAGTATTTTGGCGACCAGACGTTGTCCCAATTACAATCGCCACCACTGTCACCCCCAATACAAGAAGGATGCAGAACCGTTGCATAAACCATGCCCGCCCCTTTGCGTCATTCTCTCTCTTTTTTGAAGAACTGTGGTCCACTGGACAGGCGTGGGATAGCTCTTCAGAGACCGGTTTCGCTTCTACCAAACCATGAATATGCTGCTGGTAATCTTCAGGAGTTGATGTTGAATCGTCAGTGGTGGCAGCGTCAGGTGCCTCTGGTGATAATGAAAAGCGGCGAACGCTCGCTCGTGTGTATTCACCAGGGACGAAGCCACCTCTCCTTTCCTCGTGCCTGCCTGGTTCACTGTGATATGCCCCCGGGACACCAGTATCGATTCGCTCTTGAAACTGTGGAGGCTGTGCGTAGTCCGGACTAGGAGAAGAGGCCGGTACACTCCGTCCGATTTTAGGTGCTTCAGATGCCGCCTGGGCAATATCGTCGAGTTTTGCAGTGCATTTTGATGCACTGGTTGGGGTTTGCTCTGATTCAACGACTCCAAGCAACAGAGCCAGTGTCTCCCCCTGTGATAGCTTGGCGCTTGGCTCTTGCATTATTTCATCCCTATCAATAGCAAGCTGCTGTCCCGAATAAGAATCCCCATTCATGATTGCTATGGTTTCACCAGGCGTCAAGGCCAATTTGGCTGCTGCCTTTTGCATATCGTCGCTGCACAGCCCCGTTTCAATATCGTCACCTTGGAGATCCAATGTCTCCCCGCATGCCAATGCCATCTGGACTGCTACTTTTTGCAGTACATCGCCATCAAGCTTGTGCCCATTTCCAATGTAAATGCCGCTTACCAGAGCCAATGTCTCGCTCGGTTTCAAGGCCAAAGTGGTACAGGCTCTATGTAGTCCGCACGAGGTCGTGGTAGCATTTGATTCCTTACAAAGCTGCTGCCAGGTCTCCATATCATCGTTCAAGATGGCCATTGTCTCACCAGGTGATAATGCCAACTTGGCAGCTGCCTTTTGCAGCTCACACGAGACCAAACTCGCGTCCGTTGCGCTCTTCGTCTCATGGGTTTCACTGCCGTCAGCCATGGCCTGCCCAGCCATCTCCGAGGCTTCAGCTTGCTGCTCTTTCTCGTCATCCATTGTTTGTTAGTCTCGTATATCCAAAATCAATGGTACACAACCTTCCTTTCGTTAGTACTAGTACATGTAGGTGGGTTTAGTGGAGTGGGCTCCTTCTTGTGTTTGGTGCAGGGTGGGTGTTGGAGCTGTGTTGCTCAGGCTGTTTAGAAAGTTGTGATCTGTCAATCGTCAATCGATGGAAACATGGAAACCTCGCCAGGAAGCTCCAGGATGCCAGCAGGTACTAGCTATGCATAGTAACGCTAGCACCGGTACATGGAGCAAGGTACTAGAGTCTAGTACCGCTACAGTGTACCTGGTACCGTCCACTGTGAATAGAAAGATGGAAGATATGAAAGAGAATGAGGAAAAGAAGTACTCTTGACCGTCGTTTAAAACATAGCATACGGTAGTGAGGGATAACAAGCAAACATGTACTGGAGTACTTACATATTATAGCCCTTTAGGCCTTTAGGACAGTGAGAAAAAGGGTTTTGTCTTCTGTACGGTAGATTGTTGCACTACTCTGGTAGTATAAGACACTTCAGACACCTCCCACCTTCCATCATCACCTAGCTGGTGCCAGTTCAGCTGCAAAGAACGTGAAGCTGGTACTCGCGTGTGACGTGGTCTCTGAGAGGGCTCAAAAGCGTCGCAGTCGATCGCGCAGAGGTTGATTAAATCGAGTTCGGGACTGCGTTTTTCTTCATTCGCGAATCAATCGCACACCATTCAATTGATCAAAAAACTCACTGTGGCCACCACTCGAACAATGACAAGGAGGAGACACATGTACTAGTAGTTTATAGCCAGGCTGCTGAAAAGCAAAACATAGCTTAGGGAAAGTATCCTTTGTTCTAAAGAAGGCACCTGGCTGGAAGTGTTCAAACTGCGCTAGCTATTACAGTAAAGAAACTTCATATCGCATTACAGGGTTTTCTGTACCGGTATCACAAATATATGTATATACTTCATCCTCACAATGCAAGTGGGATTCCTGGCAGAGGATAGATTTGAGCTCCGCCAGAGTTGAGAGCATTCAAACCTCCCCTTGGCACCAACGGTTCAACGTTTCTTGTATAGATTTCACCATGGTTGCCCACTGCTTGCACTGCATTGATAAACATTCTTGTGTAAAGGGGGCCAAATAGGTTGGTGGTAGGCATCTTCGATCCAGCAAGGTCCTTGGTGATTCCTTGCTCCTCAGCAAAAAAAGTGGAAGTGACTACCCAGTAAACGAAGTCCGTCCATTCAGGGTCATCTTGGTTGGTTACCAAAGCCAAGGGGTCCTTGGAAAAGCGATTGACTCCAATGGCATAGTTACCTGTGTAACCAACACTTTCTACAGAAGCTCGTGCAAGATCGTGGGATCCTCCAGCAACTGCATTGCATTCCCCGCTCACCAAGCCAGCCAAAGCTTCTTCTCCTGTGGGCTTGACCACAATGTTGTCTTCTGGGAACAGCTCTCTGGTCCGCTTCACTGTGGTTGTTCCGTCATTGACGCAGATCTTCAAGTCAACGCAGATGCCAGTGGTGGTGTCCAATGCATCCGCGCATTCTGCAAAGCCCGGCAGGCCACCAAAGCTGAGCCCATCATAGAAGACAGGCTGCGAAAAACTGAATCCAGTCATACTAGTGGGCTCAGAAACATCACGCTCGAAGTTATAGGTTGTGATTCGAGACAAGACGTCGACTTTGCCCATGGCCTGGACAACGAACCTCTCAGTGGCAGGGAGGACATGGTAGACCACGTGGTGTGCAGCACCATCGAAGATCGCAGCGGACAGTGCCTTGCAGTAGTCCACATCGAAGCCTTCCCACTTCAGTTTCTCTGTGTTGAAAACTCCGAATCCAGCACGTCGAGTGATTCCACAGTTCAAATGACCTCTCTTCTTGATCTTGTCGAGAGTTCCACCTGGAACGGGGCCTGGTCCCATCACGTCCAAGGAGCCAAAGGGAGTTGAGAAGATCAGGCCCGAGGTGCCAGCATTGATAACGTTCAAGCCACCTCGGGGGATGATGGAACCCAGGTTTCGCTGATACATTTCATCGTAGTT